ATATTTTATAATTTGTAACATTCGAATTTGTTATACTCAAAAAATTGTAAGTAAGAAATACCTCCCTTCATTGTTTTTTTTTTCTTATTTAAAATGAAGTGATTTTACATATATAATTTCCTTTAAATGTATTGAATAGGTATTTATCGCGCAAAAAAATAAAAAATAAAAAAAATGGTGTGTTTCGTAAATTATGGTGGTGGTTCGGAATAATTATATGGATCCCAAATTTTATTAAAAAATTTAAAATTATAAAACACTGGCGTTTGTCAATAAATATAAATATTATATAGAAAAATGAATTATCTGCGGTCTTACTTTCTCAAAAAAAAAAATAATAATAATAATAAATAAATAAATAAATAAAATAAAATAATTCTGCTGTGTAAAAGATATTCATAACCATAAGAGAATGAAAAGAATTTAACTTGTAAAATAAATTCACACCTTCATCATAGGTAGAACATTAACTAAACAGACAAGTACAATAATGTAATAATATTTATTTCCAATTCCAATTTCTCAACAACAGAATCAACAAAATGTACTAAAATTTATCACAAAAGTCCGTCCCACAATCAAATTATCATAAGCCCCCTACAAAGTACAAACACTGAAAATGTCTATGATTTCCATTAAATAACCCAAGAAATAAATTTTACAGAACAAGAATTGGATCATACAGACATAGCTGCTTACTATCTCTATAGCAAACTTCCACATTTTCTCATAAATGAATAGATATAACAACAGTTACAAATTTTCCCTCCACAATTCCCAGTGAGGGAAAAAAAACCCAAGCCCGCGCCTTCACGCCTCGACCCGATCCAAGGACTTGGTGAATTCCAAAGTCAACATGCTGACCAAACCCGAAAGCTCGATCGAGTTTTACAATCACTTAGCAGCCTTTGGCGAAGACTGATACTGATCCACAGTAGCAGCCCCATTGCCAAGTTTCCCACTCAATTGCCTTGCCTTAATACTTCCCTGTTTAGCGGGCCTCGGATGAAAAAGCCCGTTAAACATCTTCTCTAGCGACTGAGCTGTATACCTCGCATACTTACCCGGGCTCCCTTCCTGCTCGACCAAAGGCCCGTAATTCTGCATATAGCTTCTGTACACAGGCACGATCGTCTGGACCACAATTTGACACGTCCGATCCCTCAAGTCCCTGTCCACAATAACCCAGGCCATATGCTTCTTATACATTTCGTCGAAAGCCTCGTTAAAAGCTTTCAGCCTCTGTTTCACAAGATTACGGGCCGTGGCCCGCCCGCCGGAGAATAAAATAAGCCCTTCCCGGCTTAAAAGGGCCGGAAGCTTCGCCCAACTCTCTCTGAGGTACATACCGAAAAAATACTCCTTGAACTGCTCATGAGCGTCTAGCCAAGAATCTCCGAGGAGGGCCCCGAGCTTTGTTCCTTTCAAATGTTTGTACAAATGCCAGTGATTATTCATCAGGAATAGATATGAAGCGATCGGGTCTTCGTAACCCTTTGACCAAGTTTCCAAATTTAGCTCGATTGCCTTGACCAAGTTGAGAAGCTCCCCTGTAAGGATTCGTTCTTGGTACTTCTCGTGCTTCCAGCTTCTCTCGATCACGAGTACTTGCGTGAGGATCGGCTTGTACTCTTCCCCGAGGAGCGTATTGCAATATTCGGTTATAAAAGTCACCACTTTTGGAATACTGCAATCTGCAGGTGGCGGAGTTTGTCTTTGCAGCTCGACTTGAACCAAAAGTTCCCAGAAAATTTCACAAGCGCCTTCGATCACACGCTTAATCAGATCTCTCGTCAGATTTTGGATCTCCGCACAGGCGGCCCCACCAAATAACCGATTGAAATCCAACCTTAGTTTATTTAACGACGCAAAAATATCCAAAAGCTTCAGTAGCTTGACGGGATCTTTCTTGCTTTCAGTGACCGTTTTTCCGAACTGCAGAAAAGCGGTAATCCCAGCCTGAGCGGCTATTCTCGCGAAGCAGCTTTTCCAAACATCTAATCCCATTATTCTCTCAAACACATCGTTACAGAGTTTGTATTCGGCCTCGAAAAGATGTTTCATGGCGAACTCCAAATGCTTCCCCCACTGAGAAATATAAACCTCTATGCTACCCACGGTATTAAATTCCGAAACGGAAATTTCTAGATAGTCCAAATTGAGCGCTTTTAGACTGGCACGCACGTTTGAGCTCCGTACCTCGACGTAAATCGATACACATTTTTCGAGACGATTGTTCTCAATTAATCTTCCTAAAATCGCCTGTAATTTCTGAATAACAGCCACCGGCAAAGGAGATGGGGCAATGCAAGCTTGTTCTTCGGACAAATTTGGGGAAGACATAGGCAACGGGACACTATTCTCCGTCAAAAGCCGGCGGAACTCGTTTTCGAGTCTTTCAAGAGAAGCTTCTAAAAGCCCACCGTCGAGACGGCCCTTTTCCTCGCTGTTTTCCAACTCGCGGAGCTTTATCAATGCGGTTTTCAGGCCCGACACAAAACGGGCATCCGCCACTTTGTGATCTTCTAAATACTCGACTATATCAGCAAGCCACTGTATGGCCATGCCACAATTATCGTCTAGAAATTTGAGAGCTTCTTGGAGGCGTTTGAGAACGCTCAGGTAGCCCGGAAGATCGGACTGTGGATCGGAAAGCGATTTCTCGAGGCCGTGAATGGCATCGAACACTTTGAGGACAGCAGCTGCAGGGACCACGGCTCGGTTTATGTGGCCACCAACTGAGGCTAGGTCAGCAGATTGGGCCCGTATGGGCCGGATCGCGATCTCCAGAGAGGGGAGTCTCTGGCCGATCTCGTTCAACCTGGGCCCGGTTTTCTCGAGGGAAGCCCCAAGGGCTTTGGATTTGTCTACACTAGATGTTAGTAACTTCCTGGCTGAGATCAAGTTTTCCATGCCTCTATTCATTTTCGAGTTTCAACTTTCAATCACACAAAAACTCAACAGGCTTTCAAAAAATTCAAATCAAAACCCCCAAACGATGACAGAAAAATAATCAATGTGGAAAAACGAATTAATCTGGGTTTTCGAAGATGTCAGCTTCCATTCTCCGTCCTCAGACCAAACCAAACCCCTTTCACCAAATCTCGACCGGCAAACAAAATCGAGAAACAGTGTAACCTCAGCAAAGCCCAGCGACAAGCGCCACAAATTCAAAACCTACAGTCTAAATAACTGAAGAGATAACTGAATCTTAATTTCACCATACCAAATACTTGAAAGATTAACTCGAAAACAACAATGGAGGGGAAAAACAAAACAAAACAAAACAAAACAAAAGACTTACCGGCAAAATCGATTTCGAATTAGAGGTCAGTCAATACTGCTGCACATCGAAGATGGTGATTAGGGCTTGAATTTGATTCCGGCGAGATGATCTTGAAGTGTACGGGCGTGAAAGGAATTGAAGAACCCTAAATCGGGAAGTGAAAAAGGTGTGGCCTTTTTTGGCTTCACACACTGTACTGTAAAAAGCTAATCTCAAAGAGGTCCAAATGAATCATGCTAAAGTGCTCTTAGACAGTAGTAATAAATTTCAAATTTTCTTTTGTTTCGGTTTTTTTTTTTTTTTTTCTCAAATGAAATTTAAATATTTAAAAATCATTATTAAAATATAAGACAAATAAATAAAAATAATAATATTTTATTTTTATATAATAAGTAATTATTTATGTTGTTTTTATTTAGATTGTGAATTTTCAAGTTGAAAAGAGCCAACAACATTTGTGTGTTGAAATAATGGCATTACATTAATTGAGCAAAATTGTAATTTTATTCTCTTATGTTTGACTCAGTAGCGTTTTTAGTCCTGAAAATTGAACATTTTTTATATTTGGTCCTATGATTTTATAATTCAACGCAATTTCAGAATCGAAAAATCTTTTGGATGAATTTTTTATTAGTAATTTAAGTCTGTAGTTTTAAATATTGTTGGTAAAATATTAAATTACAGAATAAAAAGAGAAAAAGTTAAATTTTAAGACTAGAAATGCTACTGCAATAAACCAGCGGGACAAAAAATGCAATTTTGCCATTAATTGAGTAGTATCCCAATTCATTACTTAACTTTAATAACCATATTTAGAACACCGAAAAATGCAATTATGACCACTTTAATTATTTTCCTTTTTACCTTAATTATATGTGGGATGATAATAATATCAATGGTCAATTTTTGTAGTTATTATTGTAAAGGAAGAATCTTCAGACATATGATAGATAATAGATAATAATAATAGAGAGAAGCTGTAAAAAGATGGGAGAAATAATTGCAAACAACTCCTTTGTCTGGTCCAGTTTTGTGCATCTGAGAAGAACGTCGGTGGGCTTTTTTAATTACCTACAGAAAC